GCAGCCCCATCATCTTGCAGCCTGCCGTTCCCAGTCTGCCCAGTGCTCCGTCAGCTCCCAGCATCCCTCGCTCTCATCACCTGGCAGCTCACCTTCCTCCTCATTTCCACTAATCAGGCGTTTATACACCCCACATCCGAGCTTTCCGCCAGATTGTCGGGCCATCTGCCTCGAAGTTCTGATCTCTGCCAGTTCTATCTTGCTTCCTTCTTGGACTCGTGCCGCCGCTGACTCCGCTGTAAACCAAGAAAACTTCACTTTCGCTTCACCTTCGCTGCCTTTTGTGTTCGACTCGTAGCTCCGACGAGACCCCATTAGCCCCCGACTTAAACGCATTAATCTTGGAGTGAGGCTTTCCGATAACATAACACGATTGGCGGCAGAAATCGGTGCCAAAAATTTTAAAATAAACTCTTTTTCTGAAGTCACGCGGGACGCTTTAAGCCTGATTGCTGCATCACTTTGAGTCAGGCTCAGTTTGCGTTGCGCCAGGCTGGGATCCGCTCCCAACTTTGCTCAATTTACCTCAGAGTTGGAGGCGCTTTATCGCAAATGAGGTTGTTAAATGCTGTTATGTATTGTTAAATTCAAATTTGATTCAATTTCCAGCCACGGAGGACAGAACGGAGTGCGGCGGGGAGGTGGAAGGAGGGAGGAAAGTCTCTGGGTTTGGTTTTGAGTTACGGCTTCGGTGCTAAAAGAGGGAGTCACCGACGAGCCTTTGTCGGGCTTCATGCGTTTACGAGGCTGTCCTGTGTGAGTAGGTGGAGTTCTTCTGCTCTTTAAAATGATTTAAAGCCACAAAAGACATCGGATCAAGTCCGTGTCACACCCTCAACATGACTTCATTTTCCGTTTTCCTTTTTTGTGTGTGTGTATGACAGCATGTTAAATTGTCTTGTGCTGAATAATGCTGCGGTCAGTGTTGATCTCCTCCAGGTTCACGGTTTCTTCCCTTTCAGAGGAGAGCAGCTTCGTCACAAACGTGGAGGTGAACCGCTGCACAGATGCAGTAAATTACCCTAAAAATGCTGCCAAATTCTAAACGTTTTCTCCAAAAATATGGTTAAAAACTGTAAATTCTGAGGCTTTTTTGGAGCCGTAAGCAACCATGACTGTCAACAGCTGACTGGTGTAAAAACCGACATCAAAAGCAGTTTATGAAGCTGTTTATAGAAGAATTTTATTGCTGACTTTGCTCTGATGCCCTAAGACCGACCATTTTACATAGAAATGTAAAAACACAGGAAAATACTGGCGACAGATGAGCAACAGAAAGAGTGAAGGCAACGTAATTCTATTTAAAGCAAAAGTAAAAGAAGCCTGATGGAGGAATACTGTCAA